TGTTATTATCTTCTTATTTTGTTTAAGGTTAAGTTTTGTGAATTATAATATATAATATGTAATTTTTGATAATTGTTATTGAATTTAGGACAATTTATTGGTCCCTGCAAAAAACACAGAATGCGGACAATTGGTTCCTGTCAAAATTGTACAAATTGACAATTGGTCCCCGGCTTAAAAGTTAAATACAAAATATTTTTTTGCATAAAACATTCTCATATAATATATTTATGGTATATATATATATTGATATCCCAATTTTATTTTTCTGTGGCTGGTTTTAAAACATCCTATTATTTCTATTATTAGTAGGTATACTAGTACGAATTAGACGGATGTACAGCAATAACTGATAAAGGTAGATCGGTCAGTCAGCAATAAAAGATTATTATCTATCAAGGGAAATATTTTATTACAGTTTAGTAAAAATAGTTAGTATTGTAATGCTAGTATAGTGTTATACTTAAAATTTTATAATCCATCAAAACAAACCTTATTGTGATATCTTTTTTTTTTTTAATATTATTTTAACATTATGATTTATAGTAACGAATAAATTTAATAAAAAGTTATTATAATAATATTATCATTACAAAATGCTGTCTGGGATTGACTATTATACCTATTCATATACCTATATTGTCATATTGACCTAATATCATAAAAAATTGACCAGGGACCAATTTGTCTGTGTATAAAATGTGGGGACTAATTTTCCGTTTACCTTGTTATTGATTAGCGGTGAATGCCGACTCCAAAGCGCATAGCCATGCCCATTTATCATTATGTATTATAATAATACACATTTGTCCCAAAATTAAATATTAATAGAAGGTTTTACTTTTAATTTATTATAGCCCCTGCAAACACTATCAATTTTTCATCGAAACAAGCATGGTGGGTGACAAAATTTCTAATGATTGGATTCCATAAATGTAAAGATGTATGATTTGATAAAAAAGTTTGCTTTGGTCTGAGTATATATTAAATATTTGTAATATATTTAACATAAGTATTTAAATTGATACAATTTAAAATGCTTATTCCCATCAAGAATTTGCTAAAATTTAAAAAGTGCTCTGACTAATGCAAAGTAATTTTGTTTATGCATTCAACTTCTTGAAAATTTTTTAAATTGGAATTTTTTGAAGTTCCTCAATTTTTGTTAGGTTTATAACTATTATACATCAATCATTTGATTTTGAATATTTCGGTCTAATTACTATATGACTTTTTTTCCATTAAAGGTGTGTAATATGTATGAAGCGGGTGATGGGGGGAAGTATATCTCAGCGATAACAAGTGCTATTCATTATACACAAACAAAAGCTATCACATGTTCTGTCAGTAAAAGTTACTAAAAAATGATATTAGATGATATTTTTGTTATAAGTATTCAGTACATTATAATTTTTTTGAAATATTTAATATATTATCGGTCATAAGATATTGTATGTGATGAATGTATTGATTTTATCATGATGTGTGTGTTTTTTTTTTGTGTCTGTCATCACGTTTTGGGGCAGTAAAAGTGCTTTGATTTTTGACTTCAGTACCTTATTCGATCAGAAAGTGAATCTAGTTGGTACTTTGGGAGTCAAAAGTCAAAAGTTCTATATTCTATAGAAATAATATTATTCTAAATAATCGGGATAAACAAACT